TACATCTTCTTAAAAACCTCTTCAAAGAATTTATGAATTTCTTCTTAATCATTGTCAAAAACGATATACTCATCCATATCAAAAAATTTTAATTCAATCATAAATTCAATTTCAACATATTCATATGCAATTAATACATCAAATAAGAAATTCATCATTTACGTATACAAATTCAACAAATAATGACATTTCTTTCATTTTAACTAATCGAACCATAGAAATCTATCAATTCGGGTTTTTCCGGAAATATAATCCTATTTTACCTTCCAAACCTCAAAAAAATTAATAACAAAAAGGATATATTCCCAAATATAATTAATATAATCAATTACAAGATCTCATTTCCACAATGGTTATATTATAAATATCTTCTTCCTAAATCATAGAAATTTACTTTTCACGAATTTCTTTCATTCCATTAAATTGCAAACGGTATCGATTAAATCTTAAATTATATTAAAATAGATTTAATATTCGTAATATTTATATTTATATTAAAAGGTTTTCGAAAGCCAAAATTCTTAAAAAAACATCCGAAAAACATCAAATTTACCTTTTCCTTTATTTTATTTTCCTCTTCCTCCTTTTCTTTTATTATCATTTTTGCCGCCTTTAAAATAAACAATAAACTATAGTCCAATAATTATTACGAAATAAAATCCACGGACAAATATTAATTCCTTTATTTTTTTACGATTATATAAATAATTCACGAAAACTTAACCTAACCAATGCACGATTCCAACTCTTCTAAAGCTTCTTCTTCTTCCATCCATTCTTCTTCATAGAATCCATATTATGCCCACCAATCTTCTTCATCGATTTCCTCGTAATATTCTTCTTTCATTTCTTCTTCATAAAAAATATCGGCCTTAAAGCCTTTAATATCATGGTTCAAATCCTTATTATTTGCTTTATAAACGCCACCGAAGATCCTCATCAAAAGCTAAATCAAGATCATAATCAAGATAAAATTAAGATCACCGCCGCTCATTAATTTCACCTACGCATAAATCCAACATAAAATACCTACACGTATCATAAGATACCAACCAGCAAGCAAAGCATACTTTCAGCCATCTTCTTCATTCATCATAAATATGTTTCACCAAATAAACTTACAATTCTTCATATTTCCCCAATAGCCATGCTATGGGGTCTTGCAAAACTAATAGGCGGACGGGCGCCGTCGGGTCACCGTCAGAGCTGGTGGGCGGATGGTGTCCCGGTCATGTTGTGATAGTGTCCCGGTCATGTTGTGATGGTGTCCCGGTCATGTTTTGATGGTGTCCCGGTCATGTTGTGATGGTGTCCCGGTCATGTTGTGATGGTGTCCCGGTCATGTTGTGATGGTGTCCCGGTCATGTTTTGATGGTGTCCCGGTCGTGTTGTGACGGTGTCCCGGTCATGTTTTGATGGTGTCCCGATCATGTTTTGATTGTGACCCAGTCATGTTGTGATAGTGTCCCGGTCCTGTTTTGATGGTGTCCCGGTCATGTTTTGATGGTGTCCCGGTCATGTTGTGATGGTGTCCCGGTCATGTTTTGATGGTGTCCCGGTC